AGAGAATAATGGGAAAGATATTTTAAAGCAACAGTTATTTCACTGAAATACTAACTCAAGTGGAATGCTGAATATGAGCAGTCAAACTCAGTCTCAGAAGTGAAGGTGAACTGTTGAAGGAACAATTTTCAGCTTTCTAGTGTATATTTTGTAAACATTTTTAGATGAAAAAGAAGTCTTGTATTGCAAAAGTGAATGTCACTTTCTTGTTTATGATCAAAGAACATAGATAATCCTCTGTAGATAGGAGTGGGCTTATATTAGGCAAGTTCTGTATAATTTCAAAATTTTATTCAGTCTTCCTGAGAATTAATAACATTTTTTAATAAATTGTCTGGCTTTTTAGTAATTTGTTGCAGTTGAAGATGCACCAGTTTTTTTTCCCCCAGTCAACTTTAAAAAGCTTCAACTGAAATTCCCATTTTATGTATTTGTTTTTTAATTTGGAGTGTAACAAATAACACTGATGTAAGGAAGTGCTGAACAAATACAGGCTGCTAACTTTCTCAGTGCATAATAAGAATACCCTAAAGTAGCTTATAAAAACAGGAAGACACATCTGAGATTGCCTAATTTTGCAGAAAATTGGCTTACAGAATTCGCTATCAGCAAAAGCTTCATAGATAACCATTCGATACTACAGTGATGAGAAAAACTTTTCCCTCTATATGCCTGAAATGGAATGCAGGTATTGTATTTGAGACTGTGTAAACAAAGAACTGATGGTATAGATGGTTAATTGGTTCATAATATGATATATCAGTCAGAGAAATGTTGATGTGGTAGAATGAGGAAGAAAAGTAGCTAATTGATGGTGTGTTTTTTATCTGTTATGTTTTTGAGGTGGCGTCACAGCCAAGTGCATTCCCGGATTTATATGTCTAAGAAGTTGCTTAGCACTCATTCGGGAGCACTCTTAATCAAAGTCCTAAATTATGACCTTACTAATTTTATAGATACATGGTTTAGTGGCTTGATTCTGGGAGGTTTCAATAAGTTGCAGGATGCGCTACTTCTGGCTTGTCATAGTTGAGGCCAGCCTTGGCTACAGAGGATCTATTGGGTTGTCTGCTGTTAATGCTCCCTAAACAAATCAAATCACGGCAACCACCCCTCCTTTAAGTAAAAGGTAAAAGTCCAAATAGAGCACGCATCCCAGTATGCTGCGGTTAGAACCGTGCGTGAGCAGCTGTGCATACAGTGCAGGTGCCTCATGGTACTTGGACACTGAAGTATGAGCTGACTGAAATGCAAGGACTCTGGGAAAGGAGTTTACTGACAAAATGCCCTGTGATGTTTCTAAGCTTTGCTACGAAGGAGGAAGACCGCAAGGCAGAAATGCAGAAACTTGTAAAGAACAAAATAATCCCATAAATGAGGTCATCTTTCGCACACTACGTAATGGCCTATCTGTTTTTGTAAAGGACACTTATTCAGGCATTTAAACAAAAAATAAAAATCTTATTCAAGCGTATTGGAAGCGGAATCTTTTCACAGTCTAGAAGAGTTTTTTTAAATACTTCCACTTCTAGGTGTATATGGTAACAGGAAAGATAGGACTATAGCAGTAAAACTAAATATGTGGGGTTTTTTTTTAAAGCTGTTTTGTTTTCTGTTTATCTGTACTTACTTGAAGGGACCACAATGCCAGAAGTCCTTGTTGTGGAGAGGACATGAAGGATTTTCCTTTCTTTTCTTTTGTTAATAACTGAAGACAAATGTGGGATAAAATGACAAAATAAACAATAAAGAATTGCAAAGATCAGATATTCAGAGTTCTGGAAAATCTAGCAGCTGTGATTTATTATCTGTCCTTGAAACTGCTCTAATACTAGAAGACTGGAAGGTGTAGACACTTACCACACTTACCAGATGGCTTTCACTGTCTGAAGAAGTGCTGGTATGATTAGATACGATCATTAGCATGGTCACTAGATGTTCATCTTGTGCATGCTAGTCTTTTAATAATAATAATAAAAAAGTTTTAACTAATTCTGAGAGTCATATCTCTCAATCTTACAAATTGTTTAAAGAACTTGATAAGCATGTGAGAGGAACTGCAGCCTACTTGTATTTCCAAAAGATCTGTGATTATATGATAAAAGGAAGGTCACAGCATGAAGAAAAAGAAGGAACATCCTTTCTGGAAGGAGGTGCTCCAGTTATCCTGTCAGCTCTTAGAAGATATGAGATTCCAGACTGTAAATTCATTCTGGCATGAAGATCTCGTGCAGGGCAGGAAGTAGAAGTAATGTAGTCATTGCTGTACATCTCGCTCAGAATCTTAAGTAATTTCATTTTTAGGGAATAACTTATCTAATTAGGGTATAACTTGGCACTTTTGCCAGAATAGCATGTTCCCCTCTGTAGGGAGAGAAAAGATGCCTGAACACTTACTCACTCTGATTGTCAGCAAAAAGTTCCAGCGTAACTTTTGTTGTTACCAGAATTTGCTCTGTAAGTTTTGACATTCGAGGGGAAGAAACTTTTGACTTAAGAAGAAATCCTGACTATTGGGTCTTCTAATGAAACCTGGGAAAATTAATTACTATGTTTTACAAAATGGGGGAATATCCTCAAAGAGGAAAATTTCTTATACTTTGTTTTTTAAGCTAGTGTCACTTCAATTGACCAGACGTTTTGAAAAACATAATGAAAAATACAGTCCTGAAACTAGTCTGAGCTATTGCTGTTCTGACAATTCTATTCTATGACAACACAGTGACACAAATATCATGGGGTCCTTCTCGGACACTCACTGGTGAGAATACTTCAAGTGGTGTAAATTATGACCCCACCAGAGGTTGCTCTAACCATACCATGGGAGCACAGCTGAGCATAACAACTCCTTGTACTGCTGGTTTTGCAAGAGACTTTAAGGCTGCTCTAAATCTTGTTCTGTCAATAGTGATGAAGTTTGTTTGCTGTTCTAGTTCAGAGTATCGTAACTACTGGGTTTGGATGGTGATTTGTCATGTTTGCAACCATTCCTTGAGCGTACTAAGGTTAAAAACGTCCACTAAAACACATGTAAGTAAATAGCTTCTTAGGGAGCGGTATTATATATTACACGAAATCAACTGAAGTCCTGTTTTAATTCAAGCTATTGTACCTACTGCTTTCAGAACTCCATAGTGGAGAAAATGCTGAATTTAGGATATGGGTCTACAAGAATTTATCTGAAATACTAATCATAAATTAACAAAAGTAGCACTTCTCAAAGAAAGATAAAAAGAAAAGGGTGATTAGTAAAAGACTAGCTTTATTCCATGTGGAGCTCGGGAACAACTACCTTCTTCAGCTGTAAAGATAATTGATTCTGTAACCTTGTTGCTCTCAGTGTTCCAAAAATGTAAGTCAGTCCTGAGAGATTTGGTGTCAAGGGGAGCTGATTCCTTCTTTCAGTACCCTTTGGCCTCTGTTACATTTGAAATAATAACTACAGATATGCAAAAGTTCTTGCTTTCTCAAAGACTGTGATGAAATCTCATCTTTTTTCTGTCTTCATCTTTCCCACCCCTATTCCAAGGAGAATGTAAAAAAAGAAGTATTAAGCAAATCCTGGATAGGGAATCTAGTAAATTCTATTGCAGAAATTGGAAAAGAATAGATACGATGTGAGGGATAGGGGGAGCGACACATGTTGGGGGGGCAGGGGAAGGGAAGTCCTGAATGTTTTTCTAGTACTCTCCAGTGAGGGAGAAATTTTCTGTCTCTTCTGATCAGCCCCCTTTTAAGTTAGAGCAGGTTTTGGAAAAAAACCTTCAAATATAATGCTCCCTGAATCAGAAGGTTCATGTTCTCCTCTTGAATTTGATTGTCCCTTGGCTGCTGTATGCTGCCTGCCTTAAACTTTTTTTATCATTAGAAGGAAGGCAGTCGAGCCTAATTGTCTTCATACAAGTAACTTCATAATTGAGCCTTGAAATGTCTTCATACAGATAACTTCTAGATATGACCAAAACTGTTGTATTTTAATACTTTGTTCCAGGGAGGAATTATTTTTCAAGCTATGCTAATCAATCTTGATGTTTATTGCCATACTGACAAGTAGGGATAATTTCTTGATCTATAACTCTTAACTAAGATCCAAAAGAAATCTTGCAGGCTGCAACTTCATGCCGTTCCCTCTGCAGAGCATGAGAAATACTTCAGTAGTAAAATTTGTACTATGTATTGTAAAATGTGTAGGAACCAGACATTTTTCTGTTATTAACATCTCATCAGATGAAAGCTATTTGTTTGATATATTGCCATACTTGTATAATAGTCTTGATATTGCCTTTTGTGTAGGAGGAGGCCAGGGCAGGGAGTAACAGTTTTGGTCTGCTTTACCTGAGTGGCTTGAGTTGTGGTAAACTGGTATTTTTTGCTCAGATTCAGTTTCTTACTGCTTAACAGTACCTGGCTGTAGTCAACTGTGGTCGAGGGTGGCTTAATTTTATTTTTAAAGAAATGAGGTTATGCTTTCTGAAGCTTTGTAGTTAACTTGGGTGTAAAATACTTCGTAGTCTTTGCTGGAAAGGGTACAAATCCACGTTGATATATTTGGAAAACAGTTATATGTACAGCTGTCTCTATAGAAACTGTGAAGTAAAATGCTATAATTGCTTTATACAGGCTACTGCATTTCTGTTGGGGCAGTTATGGCTTTAGAGCTGACTGGATTCAGCCCTGGTGGTGAAAGGCTTCACACTATTAAACCTTTAAACTTTCTAGTTGCTTGAGAAGGGAGGAAATAGAAGTTCAGCATTTTCTGTGTGTGTGTGCGTGTGCGCGCGCGCATGCGTCCGTGTGAGAGAGAGAGTGAAAGCTGTGCAGACCGTTCAGCCGGGGCAGTCGGGGAAGTGACGTCCTGTATTATTTGTCGTTCTAGAAAGAGCGGAGACACGTACTGTAGATGGGAGGACTCTAAAGAGGGCTGTGTCTTGTCCGGTGTGTATAATTATTTATAAATGAGCAACAGGGGAAGGAATGAAATACGGAGAAGCTGTCTAGTGTTTCTTTAACGTATCGGAGAGTTTGTTGATTTGTAATAGTTCTGTTTGTTTCAATTCCAAATTCGATTTCTGTTTTTCCTTCTCTAGCATCTCTGCGTTGCTAAGACACTGGACGCTGCTTTCTTTATTAGCAAGGAAAATCTGAATTCCTCCAGCACTCAGGATGGGGAAAGATTATTATTCTATACTGGGAATTGAAAAAGGGGCTTCTGAAGAGGATATCAAAAAGGCTTACAGAAAACAAGCGCTTAAATGGCATCCAGATAAGAACAAATCTCCACATGCAGAGGAAAAATTCAAAGAGGTTGCAGAAGCTTACGAAGTGCTGAGCGATCCCAAAAAGAGAGACATTTATGATCAGTTTGGGGAGGAAGGTATGTATGTCTCTGTTATACTTTGATCAGTCACTTTCATTATGTTGAATGAAGCAAAATAAACATAAATGATGCATGAAAACATGGCAGGTATTGATTTTTAGGCAATGTATTTGTACTGCTTGGAAGTTTGACTCGTCAGCTTTTTTAATGCAAAATGTATTGCAGAGTTTTAATGCTGATCTAGTTTTAACTTCTTATTTTAATGTGTTTTAATGTTTTTTTAAAAAAACCAAATACTTAACAGGCAAAAAGTTGCTGAATTGAAAAAGTTTGTATGACCCATAAATAGCTTGCTGGGATCTCTTACTGCTGTCATCCCCTGCCATAGCACTTTTTGAGGTGCAGTTCGAGAGAGATGTATTTTCTTAAATTTTTGCTGAAGGGCAGTCTGCTTAATCTAGGCAGGGCAGTCCTTCTGAGCAGAAGCCCAGGTGTCCAGTCCGTAGTTGTCCTTGGCTTCGTGCCTGGAGAGGAAAGAATTTGGCTGATGTCATGAAATACCAGAACAATTTTTTAGCTTTAATTGTAAACAGTGATAACATGCCAAGAGAATGAGGCCTCAGAAATGTCATATTTATCCTAAAATGGTTATCTGGAGAGGATGACTTTTTTTTTTATTTTTTACCAACGTGACTTTCAGTCTTATGATTGAGCAACAGAGGAAGTCATTAACATCCCTCCCCTTAAATGTAAGGCATCAGAAATTCCACATGAAATAGTTACTTCCGTTGTGACAAGTAGGTCCACTCACTCATTGTCGTTCACTCAGGGCCATGTTTTTTACTGATATAAAGGAGGACACTTAAATAGCAGTACTTTGGGGAAAATTGTGGGCTTTTATGAATACGTTATAAAACTTGGTCCTCTGTCATCTGTAGGACTTAATACAATTGTTAACATCCATAAATTCATGTAGAAGACCTTCAGCTTCTGCAGAGGATGCAGGTTTTTTGGTCTTTTGTTCCATTGCATGTGTTCAAAGCTTTAGTGCTGTTACTGAAACATGCTAGGAAAAAAGTGTAGATGCCAGAGGCCTTTGTTGCCTCTTGGATCTTTTGCCTTCTTGCACTTCTTTTCACCCCCTGCCTCTTTTCTGTATGTCATTATAAACCTCTTTATTCTGTTGATTCATTTGCATTTTAGGTTCCTGTGCAGCAACTCATCCTAACTACTTTCCCAAAATACCGTTTTAGTCACTTTTACCAAAGAGCTTGAACTAAAGCATATAAAGCAATGCAGCCTTTGGCATCCGAGTATTGCATACTTGAAGACAGATGTTCAAAACATAGATTTCTATTTGTTTGGGGCATAATATTAAACCAAAGTATGCATTTTTAGAATGGTGAATCTGGAAATACCTTCTGATGCCTCCTCAGTTGCTCTCTAAGCTCTTCAGTTGCATCTGAGAGTGTAATTAGTAGTTTTGAGGGAAAGGCAGGGGGTGGGGTGGGAGGAAGGAGGAAACCTCGGTGTTTTTACAGCCAAGAACTTGATGTACCTTCAGTAACTTTTGGCTAGCTATTCCAGGAGGTGTCCTTCTACTATCACAAATTGAATCCACTGATCTGCTTGTTTGACATTAACAGTACTGTGACAGAAGGATGTACTATGTGTTGCTAATTACTTTTAATATGGTCTGGTCTTGAGATGAGGAAAGCGTTCTCTTTCTAATGTCTTGGTTACTGTTGATAACCAGTATTAAGCTTACAAGTAAAAGGTCTGAAACACTAAGCCAAAAAATCCAACCCAAACCCCCTCTTTCAAGTTTAGGGAATGCATGCTTCATTAATGTAAACCTTCACATTTTTATGGCTATGGAAGTGGGATAGGGCTGTAGGGCTGAGCTGCTGTAAGCATGAAAAAATAAAAGAAAATAACCAAACATTCTAAGTTTAGAAATAAAAGTCTCCTAAGAAGACTTTCAGTCTTTTATCTTAAAGGTTTGAGAAGGTATCCTGAAATGGTCAGTGCAGGAGAGCACTATTATGAGGAAATACTTAGAGATCACCTATTGGGAAAGAGGCATTTAAGATGATGATTTTAGCTGGGTTTGGAATGAGAGAGCGGGAAGTACAAGGGACTTTCCAGTCAGAATTGTAAGGGAAGTATTATCAGGAAGAAGTGAGCTGTAGATCTCTCCTTGTGGAAGATAGAAGAGAAAGAACAAAGCTGTTTGAGAACATTCTGATTTTTTCACAGACACTGTGACAGTATATGCAAGATTTTTGTACCCAAATGGGTCTTAGGAACTTCCAAGCTATTTTTATTGCAGCTGCATTGAAAAGAGTTCCCCGGTTTCTTACCTATCTTATATCATAGGAATGCAAGCTGTGATAAGTTTGGGATTCTAAATTAAACATTGAGGAAGCATATGACTGCTTGACTATTGGCATGTTACCTTTTATTCAAACTGAATTGCAGGAAAACAAGGTAAAGCTAATTAACACTGAGCTAAAGCTGAGCTATGGAGACTATGGAAAATGTTGCATATGATACTGCATAATTTTCCCCAGAAGTAATCTTGAAGAGGGATGCAACTGCCAACAGACTTTGCAGAACAAGAAAGATCAAGTCAAGCAGACCTGTCTTCTGTTTTAAGATGCTAATTCTTAGAATAACTGGCTTTAATCATATCAAATAAAATTATCAGTGTCAGAATACTTGTTCTTCTGAAGTAGAAGTCATTGTAGAGCTTCAGAAACTTTGTTGCTGTTCAAGCTATTCAATTACTAGTTGGTACTGCATAGTCTGATGGTGAGTCCTCATTGAAAAGGAGACCTTTCACTCTACTGCAAAGATTCATCAGTTCTGATATCGTTACACTCTGCAATAGGAAAGCTTATACAAATATTCAATTTGTTTTTAACTTTGCTTATTTGTCTTATTTAGGTCTGAAAGGAGGAGCTGGAGGACCTGATGGACAGGGTGGTACCTTCCGGTACTCCTTCCATGGTGACCCACATGCTACATTTGCAGCTTTCTTTGGTGGCACAAATCCTTTTGAGATCTTCTTTGGAAGGAGGATGCCTGGTGGCAGAGACACTGAAGACATGGAGGTGGATGGCGATCCATTTGGGTCCTTCACTAGTTTTAGTATGAATGGTTTTCCAAGGGAAAGGAATACAGTTGGTAGCCAATTACGTCGCAAACAAGATCCCCCTGTAATCCATGAACTTAAAGTGTCATTGGAAGAGATCTACCATGGCTGCACAAAAAGGATGAGGATTTCACGTAAAAGGCTTAACCCAGATGGTAGAAGTGTCCGAACAGAGGACAAAATTCTTACTATTGAGATAAAAAGAGGGTGGAAAGAAGGCACCAAAATCACTTTTCCAAAAGAAGGTGATGAAACACCTAACACAATTCCAGCTGATATTGTTTTTATCATTAAAGATAAACCTCACTCTCACTTCAAGAGAGATGGATCAAATATTATCTATCCTGTTAAGATCAGCTTAAGGGAGGTAAGTTTCTCTTTTGGTAGAACTCTAAATGTTTAAACCTGTTACAATATGATACAACGGCTATGCTGCAGAAGCTGTATGGCAGCAGTAAAGTTTTAGTTTGTTTTTTTTTAAATAGTTTCACTCTTGTAAAGTCAATGTGTGGCTGCAGACCACAGTGATTTATAGTGGAACCAATAGTTGTTTAAAAATGGAGTATTATTTCAAGCTGTTTACTACAGAGATGGAGAGAATGAGGGTGGAAGGGTAAGAGTAAAGGTGGATATGTTTTAAATCTTCATACTCTGCCTTTCTAGCTAAATATATATTATGCTGAAGTAACAAACACAAATACAATTAATAAATACATCCAATATAGTATGCTCCTTACTGCTGATATGATTGCTACTTCTGTAGGACAAAGTAGAAATGTCTTAAATATTTCCACTGCCAACAAATTCTAAGTCTGCCTTTTTATGTCATAAGTTATTTCAGTGTGATTTCAAAGTACATAGAGATTGATTTCATGAGGATAAATTATTGTGAACAGGTGGTATAGGAGCTATATATAACAACAAAAATGGTATAGCTTTTTAAAATTCCATTCCAAGTCAAAACACATTGGCTTTCAAAAGGAAAAATCAGAAAGACAACTGAGCAGAGTCCTTAAGGGTCTGAAGCCTCAACACAGTCGTCATTTGAGAGATAATGTAGCTGAGTGTGTGTGATGCAGGGGGTTTTTTTCTTCTTAATTAGCATTAGGTGGAGAAATAAACTCTTGCTTGCATTTTAAGCTCTTTGTGTACATTATGAATGCCCTTCTTAAAGGATTCTTAACTAGAAATACATCTGAAGTGAGGTGAAGCACCTAAAATAGGATGAGGGAGGGAGAAAAGACAATATTTAATGTTGATGTGGGTAATATAGTTCCTTCATAGATAAAGCCTCTTTAGACTCATTGCATTGTTATGTTAAATTGGACATTATCAGCAAGTGTGCTGAATCAGGTGAAGTTGGAGGAGTCAAAATGTTGTTGTCAGGGATCCTAGTAATGAAAACGAACTATTGGATAAAGCAGGAGAAGGTCTGTGATGTTTTGATTTTGGTGCACCAAAATAGTTGTTTGCTTTTCTTTAAGCATCACAAATGCTCACCTAAGAAGGCTCTGAAATTTGATATGCCTCTGCTTATAAACACTTAAATGTTCCGCAATTTGATATAATACAGGTTGATAGTGTATTAGAGTAAACCCCTGTGCAATGTAAACAAACAAAAAATGGAACAGGACTCTAAATTTCCAATTGAAACTGAGAAGCTGGACATCTCTAGAGAAGTATGAGTGAAGAGTTCACTCTGTGCTCAACTACCTTATTATTTGATAGTCTTTGAAGGATATATAAGTTCACGTACCCTCCAGTGGCCATTGTGTAAGATTGGTAAATTCTGTGATGTTCAGTGACAAATTGAAGCCTTCCCTTTTTAAGAGAGGAACACTGTATTTGAATTTTGACATCTCAGTATTGCACAGTGGAAATACTGTTTAGAATGCTAGTCTTTTCTAAATAATCCAAATTCAGTTGTAGGTACAAATAAAGTTCTGACCAATTTCTTTTTCTCATGATACAATCTTTCTTTAGGCTTTGTGTGGCAGCTCTATCAATGTGCCAACGATAGAAGGAAGAACCATACCCATGACAGTAAATGAAGTTGTAAAGCCTGGGATGAGAAGAAGAATTATAGGATATGGTTTGCCGTTTCCCAAAAATCCTGACCAACGTGGAGACTTAATTATAGAGTTTGAAGTAATTTTCCCAGATAACATTTCTCCAGCATCAAAAGAAGTACTTAGGCGAAATCTTCCAGTTTCATAAAACGAAGACTGTGTATGTCAACTGTTTAAATAGGACACTGGAAATGCAGAAGACTGGCAAGTCTGTGCTTTAAAAGTGCAATCTGTAACAACTAGTGGAATATTTGTTTTTTTTTGTTTTGTGGGATGGGTGGGGGGAAATATGTAATGCTGCATGAGAAGAAAAGGGTTAAGTACAAGTCATACAGGTGACTTCTGCAGTAAAATTTACAGGGAAAACCACTCATTTTATTTTACATCTTCCTAATCAGAAAAGTTTATTCATTATTTTGCCTAATGTAAAATGTAGTCAGTTTTTACAAAGTCAGCGCATATTTCTGATGCAGTACTTGAGCCTCCAAGTACTTTATTTCTTATATCCCTACCCTATCTATAACATTACCCATTTATACAGAAATTGGAGATAGTAGTAGAAATACACAAATGTATAAATATTTTAAAGAGCAAAACATGAAAGATCTCATTTTGGTATGTTTCCTTCCACTGCACAAAGCATAGGCTGGGAAAATCAGCTTGGACTCCTGAACCACCCTCCAGTGGAATGAAAGCATTTTCTTTATTGCCCCAGAATGTGTGAGGACTGCATTGCGGGTCTAGCAAAGGGCATTGTGGCTTGAGGAGCAAGAGTAGCCATTTGCTATGGGGTAGTTCCTCAGCCTTCAGGCAGAACAGCAAGAAGGGATTCTGCAAGGGATGCTATAAACAGCAAATGGTGGGCCTGCTGTTGAATGGGGCAGCAAAGCTGGTGACAAATGACAGGGAGAAGGCTGAGGTACTCAGTGCCTTCTTTGCATCAGTCTCTACCAGTAAAACAAGCCTTCAGGAATTCCAGCCCCCTGAGACCAGAGGGGAAGTCAGGAACCTTGGTGGTAGAGGACCAGATTAGGGTGCACTTGAACTGGAAGTCCGTGAGCCTGACAGGTTGCACCCCTAAGCGTTGAGGGAGCTGGCTAGTGCCATTGCAAGGCAGCTCTTAATTATCTTTGAATGGTCATGGAGAATAGGAGATGTTCCAGTAGGCTGGAAAAGAGCAAATATCACTCCTTCAAGAAAACAAGAAGGAAGATTTGGGGAGCTGCAGGCCAGTCAGCTTCACCTCAATTCTTGGGAAGGTGATGGAGAAAATCCTCCTGGAAAGCATTTCCAAACACATGAAGGACAAGAAGGTGATCAGGATCTACAAAGGGGAAATTGTGCTTGACCAAGCTCATTGCCTTCTACAGTGAGGTGACTAGCTTTGTGGATGATGAGAGAACAGTCCATGTTGTTTACCTTGACTTTAGTAGACAGACTGATAAAGTATAGGTTAGATAAGTGGAAAGTGAGGTGGATTAAAAACTGGCCAAATGCGTGAGCACAGGGGGTTGTAATCATTGGCACAAAGTCCAGTTGGAGGCAAGTCAGTAGTGGTGTACCCTGTGGCTCAATACTGGGGCCAATACTATTCAGCATCTTCATTAATGACCTGGATTTATGGGATGGAGTGCATCCTCAGCAAATTTGTAAATCATATAAAACTGGGAGGAGTGGCTGGTAACACCAGATGATGTACTGCCTTTCCAAGGGACCTCTACAGGCTGAAGGACTGGACAGAGGATTCTCACTAAGTTCAACACGGGCGAATGCAAAGTCTTGCTCCCTGAGGAACAACCCAAGGCACTAGTACGCCCTGGGAGCTGACTGCTGGAAAGCAGCTTTGCTGACAAAGACCTTGGGGTCCTGGTGGACAACAAACTGACCGTGAGCCAGCAATGCACCCTTGTGGCAACAAAGGCCAAAGCTTTGCTGGCATGCTGAGGGAGATGATCCTTCCTCTCTAGTCTCAGCACTGATGAGGATGCACCTGGAGTACTGTGTCCCGTTCTGGGCTCCCCAGTACAAGAAAGATACAAACTTACTGGAGCAGGTCTAGCACAGGGCCATGTATGAGAGGCTGAGAAAGCTGGAGCTCTTCAGCCTGGGGAAGAAAAGGCTTGTGGGGGATCTTACCACTGCATATAAATAAATACCTGATGGGAGGGAATGAAGGTGGCGGAGCCAGGCTCTTCTCAGTAGCTCTCAGTGACAGGACTAAGAGGCAGTGGACACAAGTTAAAACACAGAGGGTTCCATCTGAACACAAGGAAACACCTTTTTACTGTGAGGATGGTCAAACACTGGAATGGGTTGCCCAGAGAGGTTGACAAGTCACCATCCCTGGAGATACTCAAAACCTGGCTGGATGTGGTCCTGGGCAGCCTGCTCTAGCTGACCATGCTTGAGCAGGGATGTTGGACTACATGATCCCAAGAGGTTCCTTCCAACCTAAATGATTCTGTGAACTTGGACTTAGCACTGTCTAGTGAAAAGTGCTAAGGGCCCTGTTCTGCAGATGAACCTTAGCCCAAAGATGGGTGGTACTGATGTGACAGCTTGAATCGCTAGGGAGTAAGTCTATGCTTGAGTGGAAAGATGCACAAAGAACACTGTAAAAGCATTTGGCTAGTGCAGGTATTTAAAGATCATGCTGATCTCAAGTGTTCATTATTTTGAAAAGCTGAAATTTACTCCCATGAAGAAGACAGAAAAGCCCAGGTCCTAGCTAAAGGAAAGTTTGCTTCAGACACAAAGTGGGATAGGGATTGCCCATAAACTTTTGTATGCTTGAATTGAGTCTTTTTTGTATACAAATATGAGTGACTTGTCTTTAGAGTTAAAAGGTGCATAGGGAAATGGAGAGCCCTCTATAATAGTCTAGTTTTATAATACAGTAATAGGGCTGGTTCCCTTGATTGTGGCATGATTTTGGTGAAAGAAATGCCTTGCAGGCGTGCTTTATCACTTCAGTTTAAAACTATAATACAGTGCTTTAACAACACTTTAAATTTTTTTTTCCTTTGGTTTGTTTTTTGTTTTTTTTTTTTCTTCGTAAGAAAATATGTAAGATTTGCTGTCAGCCTTTTGCCTGTGGAAATTAGTAGTTACCTGCTCTGTTAGGTAGCTTAAGAAATAGCAGTGTTATCTTCATATACATGATTTTCTGCAGGAAAGTAAATCATACGGAAATTGGGATTTAATTTACAATAACTTCTTAATGAGCACAAGAAGAATCCCATTTCTGTTAGTCAAAGGAATAGAACTTCTGGGAGATACTGTTCAAATCATTATTTCAACTGCAGATCTCTTCATACAGTGTCAGTTAGTTGTAGTCCTAAATCTACAGGGAACTAAATTGCTGGAGCAGTGTCACAAAGGAAGAAAATTTGCTGCTTAGTGCTTACACATATCATTAACACTATATATTGTTTGTTCAAAAAAATCCCATTTCAGTATGTTCCGTATTGCATTTCCTATGTGGTTTTTAAGTAAAAAGTGTAAAGTTGATTTTTAACTTTCTCTTATCTTTTGTTATGGTGGCAGATGCTATAAGCTACATGACTTTAAAAGCATATCATCCTAAAATACCTGTTTGTCAGTTTAAAAGCTAATGGAATTGAGCACTTTGTAATCCAGGATCTTGTAACCATAGTCCAACTTGTAAGAAAAAAAAAAAAAGTTACAGCAACTAGGACTATTTTTTGTAACCATCTTCAGGTAAGAGGAATAGTGTTAAATTGAGGAATTGCAGTATCTTGTGTATTTAAAAGTATATATATATATATGTATAGCAAACTAAACTTTTCCAACTGTTTTCATGCTCAAAATACAGAACTATAGGACTGGTATGAAATGCTTGTATTTCTTTTCTTATGGAGAGGTAACAAAGCATATGTTTCAGAAAATAGCACGTGGAATTACTTCAAAATATGAGAGGGAACATTAATATCTATTTAATCCAGGATTCACAAAAATTAATATTTTTCTAATCAAAAAAATGTGCTTAAAAGCTCTGTTTCGAAACCCACTTGATTGTTTAATAAAGGCTGCTTGGGAGAAGGAGGCAAATACTCAGTTACCTACTATATCTCTAACTATTGAAATGCACAAAAATAAAATGGACATTCATGAAGTTGGGACAAGAAGGATATTTTGATCTCCTGAAGGTTGCTTAGGTGCCACAGAAAGTAAAAGTCCTTTGGTTACTTTGGAGGAGTTCATTCAACAAGTCTATGAAAACCTGTACTTCTACAGAACCTTCTTAAATCTCCCCAACATCAAGCTTTAGGATAACTTCAGGCTGTTTGAAGAGCAGGGCAAGCTACATTACAACTGTTTCTCCTTTCTGCCATGCAGTGGTACTCTGTGATTGCTCCAGAGCAGGCTTTCTGATGTCATGTGGACATTAGTATTCCACTCTTCCACTGAGCCTTTTTTGTGTTACCTATGCTAAAAACTTGTTGAAGCTTATTTGTGGTGTGTTGAACAAATGATGTGGTTTTGGGTTGGTTTTGAGTCCGGACCTGTTTACTTTGTTATGGCAGTAACAGACTCTCTAACTGGTGTTGGGTCTCCAATGTTGTTCTTACCACCGTCATCTTGTAACTTTGTGTGTGCTCGTTTTCGTAGGATGAACTTTGTGTGAAATGCCTTTCATAGGATGGAAGCTTCATTCTCTTCATTTGTATGTCGTCTTCTAGTATTCACCCCTGTTTTCACTGTCATCTTCAGTCCAAACTTCACAAACAGTGCTGAAGATGAGCAATATGTATAATGATAATCAGTCAAATGAGATTATCAGTGTTCTAATTCTCAGATGTGATAGTTCCAGTATTTTTAGTAGATGCTCAAAACAGTATCCATGTCTGATTCCCAAAGAGCCAAGCATAGGGAGGAGACATCCATCAGTTTGATGCATAGTGCAGTAAATGAATCAAGCTCATGGACCGGTTGTACCTTTAGTGCTAAAGAGCCAAAGCATGGGTGAAAAAAAGGTCTATAGCTGGCTTGGTTTTAAAGACCCTGGCTGAGCTGTGCACAGGTATCAGTGTGCCATGAAATTTTCCACCTTGCATAGTTTTGCTTAGAGACTGGAGGAGACCATTGTCTTGACTGGATGATCTGCTGTTAGTTGTGGATTTTTTTTTTTTTTTGAGGGCCTGTTCCAGAATAAATCAGCAGCCTGGAAAGGGAGTTGTATTTGGCTAAGAAATCAGTTCTGCTTCTTGATAAGTGCCACTAGCCCTGTGCTTGCATAAACTAAATCTTCTCCTATTAACGAGTCACGCTTTGTGTTAAT